GATGAACATATTTAGTATTCACAGCAACCCCATGAAGTACATTATTTTCCAGGTCCCACCCCCAAGAGATTCTGATTGAGTAGGTGGGGAGAATGAGGGAGATAAAGAACATGCATTTTAAACAAGCACTCTAGGTGATTGTGATGCAAGAGATTCATGAATGACACTGAGAAATACTGACTGAGAGAAAAGAATGAATTTGCATGAAGGCAAGTTGCATACATTTAAAAATGTATTCTTCCCAACTCATGCCATACTCACATCAACCTATGACAAACAGACATTATTATTCTCCTTTTATGGATGATTAAAATGAGGCACAGAAAGGCTTAATAACTTGTTTAAGATTACCCAGCTAAAATGTGACAGTGCCTGGACTTATGAATCTAAATGTCTACTACATATCTCTATCCAGAAGCCCTAATATAAATTCAGGTTCAACATACTCCATTTTCTCAACTCATTCTTTGCCCCAAGCACAAACACGTTAATTCCTGCTCTGATATACCCAATCTCAATGAACAGCCCACCATGTACACATTTATCCATGCTAGAATTCGCCCGCTAAATCTAGTAAATCACCTTATCCTGTCAATTTCACCTTCTAAAGAGTTTTCAACAGTCTCATTTCCACCCACACTACTACTGACTTAACAATAACAGGTTCATTTATTGAGTACCTACATCACATCTAGCACAGTACATTAATCCTTAGATCAACTCTTCGAAGTAGGCAATGTTATTGTCTCCATTATATCAATGAGGACTCCATGGCTTTGATTCCATGTCCTTTGCCTCTATACAGTTGAGCTCCAGATCAACACCTCCATCTTTGCCAGCTCTTATCCCTCCAACTAGAACATTTAGTCTTCTAGAATACCTCCTCTTGCTTATTCTACTGACAAATAAAACTTTAAGGATAAAAACTAAACTTACAGCAACCCTTTCCCATTTTCCTATTATCATCAATGGTACCTCCTCAGTTTTACAGGGTTTTTTATTTTCAGTTTTGTAGTTTTTAATCTTAAAGTTTGTAAGAGGAATCATGATGTAGTAGGAAGAAGGAATGGGAAATAAAGTTAGAATATGACCTGGGTTTACTATTTGATTTCACATTTTTTGTTTTTAGCTCTGTGTCTATGCAAGTTACATAACTTCTCTGTCCTTAATTTTCCTTAAATAAAGGATAAGGTTAATAGGAGTATTAATTCATAGAGTCCTATGTGGGAAAAGTACACTATATAGTGTTAAATCCATTTTTGAGGAGGAAGAAAATCTCTTCAATGTGGCACACACATATATCGTATGGCCATAATCTGGATAATCTTTGTCAGACACATCAGTCTCCTGCATAAATATCTCAAGTGGCTATGCCTTGTCCATTGAATAAGATGTAAACTCAACTCTGCAGACATTCTGTCAACCATACTACTGCCTATTCTTACACCTCTCTTGCTTCACTCTATGAAATAATCCAATGGAGTCATTTGGTTAACAAGCATTATATCTTCTTATTCCTCAGCCTTCTCTCATTCTGCCCCTTCTATATCTCAATGCCTTCCCATTCCTTTAACCAATCCGGGTATATTCCTTTTTTTAAGATCAAGGTTGGTAGCTAACAAGCAACTAGATGTCTGGACCAAAACAATGAGTACATGTGGTTCAAAACCAAGGCATGAACAGAGAGCATGTGCTGGAATTGTCTTTTTCTGTGGAGCCCAATTACATAGGTATGACTGTTTACTATGCAGATTATGTAGGTGTAATTGTTTATAATGTGATAAACTATAAAATTTCAGAAAAGTTTCCTTAAACAAAATGTCTACAAATGCTGGACAAAAATAAACATCCCTTGAAATGCTTAGCTGAGCTCACAAAGGAAAGGGAAATTCCCAGAGGCCAAAAGTGAAGAGGTAGTTGAAGAGGTAGTTGAAAATGGTCAACTGATACTGAAGTAACACTGGGGCATTTGTTATTCTTATAGTCTTTTTTTTTTTTAATTTTAATTTTTAATGAGAAATTTTATCTTTGGATGTATATGTCACATAGAACATGATACTCTAGAAAAAAGAGAAGTATGAAATAATTTTATTTACAAATTACACACATTTGGAGTTATACTAATCTATTCATATGCTAAGATTTTCAATATTCAACTATTTTTTCATTTATATAATTCATATAATTTCTTTTTAAAAAATTAACATATAATGTATTATTTGTTTCAGGGGTACAGGTCTGTGATTCATCAGTCTTACACAATACCCAACACTCATCACAACACATACCCTCCCCAGTGTCCATCACCCAGCTCCCCCAATCCCCTTAAGCAACCCTCAGTTTGTCTTCAAAGATTAAGAGTCTCTTATGGTTTGTCTCCCTCTCTGTTTTCATCTTGTTTCATTTTTTCCTCTCTTCCCCTAGGATCCTCTGCCTTGTTTCTCAAATTCCTCATATGAGTGAGATCATATGATAATTGTCTTTCTCTGATTGACTTATTTCACTTAGCCTAATACACTCTAGTTCCATCCACATCATTGCAAATGGCAAGATTTCATTTTTTTGATGGCTGTAATATTCCATTGTGTATATATATACCACATCTTCTTTACTCATTCATGTGTTGATGGACATCTGGATTCTTTCCATAGTTTGGCTATTGCAGACATTGCTGCTATAAACATGGGGGTGCAGGTGCCCCTTAGGATCACTATATTTGTATCTTTGGGGTAAATACCCAGTAGTGCAAGTGCTAGGTCGTAGGGTAGCTCTATTTTCAACTTTTTGAGGAACCTCCATACTGTTTTCCAGAGTGGTTGCATCAGCTTGCATTCCCACCAACAGTGTAGGAGGGTTCCCCTTTCTCCACATCCCCACCAACATCTGTCGTTTCCTGACTTGTTAATTTAAGAGACACTCTGAGACTAGGAGATAAGATTTGAACGAGGTGGGACAATGGAACTGTGACACCCCTCCCAAATGTGCAGAGTGCCCTTCTTAAACCCATCTTCAATAAAAGAATTGACCAAAAAAATCCAGGAAAAGAACAAGGAAACCTGTCTGCCTCAGCCAGCTGGGACTCTGTGTGGGGGAAAATGTGTCCCTTGAGAATTTGTAATCACAAACTTGCCTACACATCACTTTGGGGTTCAAATGTACACTATCAGCCTGATCTGGGAAGACCCCAGTCAGGAAATTAACTAAAAGTTGTCCCATATTGAGAGTAATGTAGGATGCCGAGAAGAAACAAATATAAGTCTTTGACAGGTCAAAGAGGACAGAGTCAGAATATTCAGGATTCCCACAGATAAAAAATTACTGTCAACCTAGAACACCCAGAAAAATTAGAATTAATAAATGAGAACCTGTTCAGACAAGCAAAAACGGAGTTTATGAACAGACCCTCACTAAAGGAATTTGCAAGGAAATCAACTAAAAAAAAAAAAGAAAGAAAAGAAAGAAATTGATTCACAATTGATCCAAATTGCAAGAAGGAGTGATAAGCAAGGAAAGTGGTATACATGTGGGTAAATAAAAGCAAACACTGATTGTAATGATTAAAAAACAAAGTATCTTAATTAAGAAAGTAAGAAAATATCTACTTTTAAAGGAACTAAATTATTGGATAACAATAACGTGTAAGATGGAAGGGAAGTGATGAGAGGAAAGTGTATGGAGGTAAAGATAAAAATTAATTTTAGACTTTAAGATTTTATTAGGATGAACTACATGAAATTCCTAAATTCAACTCTTTATCTATAAAATATTGTCAATCTCATGTGGTTCAACCTAATATATCACAATTTTAAAGATAACCGCTAAGTGAATAGAAATAAAATGCACAGCTTCCAGAAGAAGAGACAAAAGTGGAATAAAACCTCAATACAAAAAAAAAGTGGACAATAGATGATACCATTAATATAAAAATTTGAATACGAAGAACAATACAAAATATGGGTTGTGGATACAGATAGATATTTGAAAAGTATAAAGGAAATTCAGGATACTGCTAAGGGTAGAGAGAAAGAGATCAAACTTCTAAGATTTTATTTTTAAAACTGGAATATGAGTACACAGGTCTACTATTCTTTACAATTTGCAATGAATTAAACTTATGTTTAATAATAAAATTTTTAAAGCCATAAAATTTTTTTAAAGCCATAAAGTTACAAAGACAAAAAACAAAACAAAACAAAAAAACCCAATATGTAGTGTTTTCCAATTTCTGTGGTGTAAAACACTCCCACATGTTTAAGATACCAATGTGACATCACTGAATGCAGAGTTAATAAGAGATGTACAGGGGCGCCTGGGTGGCTCAGTCGTTAAGCGTCTACCTTCTGCTCAGGTCATGATTCTGGGGTCCTGGGATCGAGCCCTGCATCAGGCTCCCTGCTTTGTGGGAAGCCTGCTTCTCCCCTCCCACTCCCCCTGCTTGGGTTCCCCCTCTCGCTGTGTCTCTCTCTGTCAAATAAATAAATAAAATCTTAAAAAAAAAAAGAGAGAGATGTACAGTAGCACATATATAGTATTTTCACCATACAGATAACAATGGATGTAAATAATTTCAAAAGCATAGAATGTAGTAAAATAATTAGGAATAATGAATTTTAAATATATTACCTATGTCTTAAATGACTTATTTAAGTAAATTTATATAATTTAAAATGTGTGTCTAAAAACTGGCTTACAAAATTCCTGAAAATTTAAGAATTAATTCTCACAAGCCAGTGAAAGCCATGTCTAGCATACCACTGTATAAGTATGAATCTGAAACAGTTCTTTTTTTTTTTTTTAAGGTTTTATTTATTTATTTGTCAGAGAGAGAGAGAGAGGGAGAGCACACAAGCAGGGGGAGCAGCAGGCAGAGGGAGAAGCACACTCCTCACTGAGCAGGGAGCCCCATGTGGGGCTCGATTCCAGGACGCTGGGATCATGACCTGAGCCAAAGGCAGACGCTTAACCAACTGAGCCACCCAGGTGCCCTCAAAACAGTTATTTCTGAGTGATATGAGAGAAATTGTTGTGAAGAACCTCTGAAAATCCTCTTTGTCATAAAAGCAATGAGAATAATGGAAGAAGTGTAAAAATAAATTTACTCTGTTCTCTGGAAGTTAACAAAGGTTTCCAGTAATTCAGGGTGTGTTGATTACACTTGATCTTAGCCAAAAGGCCGAGAAGCGATGGGGGTGTGTTGATTATCAAAAAAAAAAAAAAAAAAAGATCGCCAAAAAGTGAGCTTTGTGCAATTTTAACTTCCCCTATTCTAATCTACTCCATCTCCAGTTCTGTCGTAGCCTTGAAAAGCAACAATCACAGTGAAAACTACCAGTCTGGAAGTCACACAAGATGGAATAATGGATCAAAACTCCCTCAAACCTCCACTCCCAGAAAACTGTCATTATTTGACCTGTCTGATGGTTCTCTGGACAACCCAACTCATAGGCTGTCTTTATTTTATCTGACTTGGAGTTTGCCAGTGTAAATCTCTTCCCCCAACACCACCCCCAAAGAAGCTTGTCCAAAACTATGAGACAAATGTTTAACAAGTGGTTGCCTGATGCATTGGACAATAGGGCAAACAAGAGGTCAACCAAAAAACTCAAAAGGGAAAACTGGGAAATAAGATATCCAGAGAGGGCTTTGAAAAGCTCTCATGTGAACCTTGGAATTGAAATGGCAATACACTTCCAGGATTGTGCACATGCTCAGGAATGACATGAGAAAGCCCTAAGTTCACCACTCTGGCTGACCTTGAGACTCTACATAAGTAAGAAATAGGCAGAATTTTAAACAGCCTGGCTGAGTGTTGACTACATACCCCAAATTGCATAGAGCCCCTCGGCAAACACTGGAACACCTACTGGTTGCAGGCATATAAAGACACCTGTGTAATCATTATTTCAGGAAACCATATTCAAAGAACTAAAGGAAAGTATGAGGATAATACCTTAAAAAATAGAGAATATCAATAAAGAGATAGAAATTATTTTTTTTTAAAGATTTTATTTATTTATTTGAGAGAGAGAGAATGAGAGATAGAGAGCACGAGAGGGAAGAGGGTCAGAGGGAGAGGCAGACTCCCCGCCAAGCAGGGAGCCCGATGCGGGACTCGATCCCGGGACTCCAGGATCATGACCTGAGCCGAAGGCAGTCGCTTAACCAACTGAGCCACCCAGGCGCCCGAGATAGAAATTATTTTTTAAACGACAAAATAGAAATGCTGGAGTTGAAAAAGACAATAACCAAGTGAAAATTTCACTAACAGGCTCAATCACAGATAAGAATCAGCAAAACTGAAAAATACATCAATTGAGATTATCCAATTTGAGAAAAAGGGAAAAAGAATGAAGAAAATGAACAAAGCCTCAGACACCTGAGGGACTACCATTTAACATTACAATATACTCATAATGGGTATCACAGGAGAGGAGAGAGAAGGGACAGAAAGGATATTTGAAGAATGGCTGAAAATTCCCCAAATTTGACAAAAAACAACACTGTACACATCTACAAAGTTCAATATATTCCAAGTAGGATAAATTCAAAATGATTCACGTGTAGACACATCACAGTGAAACTGTCAAAAGCAAAAGACAAAGAATTTTGAAAGTAGCAAGAGAGAAACGACTTGTCAAGTCCAAGGAACCTTTAATAGTTGGTTTCTCATTAGTAACTGATGAAGCCAAAAAAGTGGGATGACATATTCAAAGTGCTAAAAGAAAAAGACTTTTTATTTTATTTTATTTTATTTATTTATTTGTCAGAGAGAGAGAGAGAGCACAAGCACGGGGAGCAGCAGGCAGAGGGAGAAGCAGACTCCCCACTGAGCAGGAAGCCCGATGCGGGACTTGATCCCAGGACCCTGGGATCATGACCTGAGCCAAAGGCAGACGTTTAACCAACTGAGCCACCCAGGCACCTCAGGAAAAGACTTTTAACCAAGAATTATGTATCAAGCAAAATTATCTTTCAAAACTGAAGGATCCACTTCCATCATTACAGCATGAAGAGCCCTATGACCTGTTCCAAAATGAAAATTATTATTATTATTTTTAAAGATTTTATATATTTATTTGACAGAGAGACACAGGGAGAGAGGGAACACAAGCAGGGGGAGTGGGAGAGGGAGAAGCAGGTCTCCCATGGAGCAGGGAGCCCAATGCGAGGCTCGATCCCAGGACCCTGGGATCGTGACCTGAGCCAAAGGCAGCTGCTTAATGACTGAGCCACCTGGGTGGCTGAAAATTATTAAAGGAAACAAAGAAAAATAACTCCCCCCCACACACAAAAACAAATTTTACACCCACCCCAATAAAAAAAAATTGGAAAAAAAGAAACCACTCAAAGCCTTTGGAAATTATCCTAAGAACAAACAGCAAATGGAAAAACATCTCTTCAGGAAAATCTATAAATATTTGGTAGGAAAGGTGAGTATCTGTGGTTTTTCAGGAAGACTGCTGCCTGACCCCCACTCTGGCCCCCCAGCTTAGTGAGGTGGAGACTCCAGTCCAGACTGCTGCAGCCAAGAACACAGAATTGCTTCCTGTTTTAGCTACCAGCTGGAAGCCTTTGTTCCTGGGAGAAACAGGACTTAAATGTTTCTCATCCTGCCCCCAGCTGTCTGTTGCTGAGACTAAGTCCTAAGTGAACGTGGTCAAGAGGCAGGCGCTCTCTTCTTTCACCCAACCTCTACCTTGGCCATGGCACAGTAAGAATACTGGAGGAAGTATAATACAAGGGAAATGCAAGTTCAAAACACAATGAGATAACATTTCACATCCACCAAGATGATATATAATAAAAACAAAATAAAACAAACAATACTAAGTGTCAGTGAGGAGAGATTTAGAAAAATTGGAACCTTCATAATTCATAAACTCTAAAATGTAAAATAGTGCATTTGCTTTGGAAAACAATTTGGCAGTTCCTCAAAAGATGAAATCTAGAGTTGTCTATGACCAGCATTTCCAATCCTAGGTATATACCTAAGAGAACTGAATGATTCTATTCATAAGAAAAGTCTAGAATAAGCATATCTATAGCAACAGAAGTAGATTAGGGGCGCCTGGCTGGCTCAGTTGGAAGAGCATGCAACTCTTGATCTCAAGGGTTTTTTTGTTTTTGTTTTTAAGATTTTATTTATTTATTTGAGAGAGAGAGAAGGAGAGACAGTGAGAGAGTACAAGCGGGGAGGAGAGGGAGAAGCTAGCTCCCTGCAGAGCAAGGAGCCCAATGCGGGGCTCGATCCCAGGACCCTGGGATCATGACCTGAGCCGAAGGCAGACGCTTAACGACTGAGCCACCCAGGTGCCCCTTGATCTCAGGTTTTTAGTTTGAGCCCCACACAGGGTGTAAAGATTACTTAAAAAAATAAAATCTTTAAAAAAGAAAAATTAGATTAGTAGTTGCAAGGAGTTGAGGAGAGAGAAGAAAGGGAATAAAGGGGAGTGAATGCTAATGGTTATGAGGTTTCCTTTTGAGGTGGTAAGTATATTCTGGAATTAGCACTGGTAAATATTGCACAAGTTTATGCCAATAAAAAGTCCACTGAATTGTATACTTTAAAAGGGTGAGTGAAGGGGCACATGAGTGGCTCAGTCAGTTAAGCTTCTGCCTTCGGCTCAGGTCATGATCCTGGAGTCCCAGGAGGGAGCTTGCATGGGGCTCCCTGCTCAATGAGGAGTCTGCTTCTCCCTCTCCCTCCGCCCCTCCCCTTGCTCCTGCTTGCTCTCTCTCTGGCTCACTCTCTCAAATAAATAAATAAAATCTTTGAAAAAAAAGAGTGAGTTAGTGGTATGTGCATTATATTGAGTGAGAGAGAGAGAGGAATAAGAGGAATAGTTACTTTCACTTGGTCATTATGGCCTAGGAGGTCGGAAATCACTTAGTCAGCCTTATGCAATGTCAACCAAACACTAATAGCTTACCTCAGTTCCTGTTTCTCTCCAATCCCAAGCCCGACTTCCCCCTGGCCACACTTTGCAGTCCTTATAGGTTTTAGTAGAGCCTTGTACTTTCATTTGCCCCCATGATAGGGAAGCAATTTCAGGGGAGGACATAAGGAACTTAACTAAATCTGAAATTAAAAGAAAAATATGTTAAATAAGTTATGAAGTAAGGTTGAAACAACTCCAAAATACAGGAGCTATACTATATACAAATATGTATTTTAAAATATAATACTATATACAAAGTGCAGTAAACCCTAGTCCCCTATGAGTTAAGAAGCATCTTTGTCATTTATATGGTTGTGACTTCTTCTCTAGAGATCTAAAAAGTAAAATGTTGGGCGCCTGGGTGGCTCAGTCGGTTAAGCATCTGCCTTTGGCTCAGGTCATGATCCCAGGGTCCTGGGATCGAGTCCCGCATCGGGCTCCCTGCTCCGCGGGAAGCCTGCTTCTCCCTCTCCCAATCCCTCTTGTGTTCCCTCTCTCGCTGTGTCTCTCTCTGTCAAATAAATAAATAAAATCTTAAAAAATAAATAAATAAAAAGTAAAATGCTAACTCTTGGGATCCTGAATCATTTAACCATGGAAACCAGATACTATATTACTTCTCAAACTGGATGGAATTCTTGAATTTTTTGAGAGATAAAATTAATGGAGTGAGGAGGTTGACACATCCTTTCTCCAAAAAGCAAGTATAAAGCGAGGTAAACCTTTCAAAATAATACTTTGATACTCTAGAAATAATAAAGGCATACTATAAGCTGAGAAGCACTTATTTATGAAAACCACTGAATTTCGGAGGGCAGTAACATGGCTTGTTGTTCCTGCCTGGGATTACTGTCATGCCCTCAATCAGTTCAGTTGGCACAGAGATTCAACTTGGTTGAGGCAGGATATGAAAATCAACAACAGTCTTGTTGCTTTGGCTAGAGGAGGCTTGATTAATTTAGAGCATTATATATTAAATTGGTGATCTCAGTGGCAAGCAAATATGGATGGCAGGTGGCTCTGCTTCCTTGCTATCGTGGGCTTGTTTGGGGCAAGCAATGGATTTGCAGAGTAGGCAGGGATTTAACAGGAATTTCTCAGAGCTGACATAGCCATAGGGGCCTTGATGAGCTCTCCACATAGCCGGAGTGGACCAAATGCTGTGAGTGTATGTATCAAAGACAAAAACCGAGGAGGCCTAAATCATGCAAACATTTTGGGCTCGTGGAGCTGACAGCACATGCAAATTGAGAAGCAAGATGGCTCAAGAGGACTTAGAACAATGTAAAAGCCAGGCAAGAAATGAAAACAGTCTGAACTTCGAACTCAGTGCACACATTGAACACTGAACACTGAACTCAGTGCACACATTGACCCACAAGTACAGAGTAAAAATCTTATTGGCGTGAGGTATTTGAGCACAATCTTTCTTTGACTGAACACGAAGCTATACAGACACAGAGGAGAACCCTAGGAAGTCAAGCTTAAAAAAAAAAACACAAGAATAAAAATTAAAGGGGTGCTTGACTGGCTCAGTTGGAAGAGCATGTGACTCTTGATTTTGGGGTCATGGTCCAAGACCCATGTTAGGTGTAGAGATTATAAATAAATAAATAAATAAATAAATAAATAAATAAATAAAATAATAAACTTTAAAAAATTGAATAAAAGTTAAAAACGGATCCTAGTGGCCACACATTGCATGGGAGATAGAATTCACAGATTTAGTCTAGGCAAGTGATTAAGTACCAAGATTAACATGCAGGAGGTGAAATCAGAATCCAGACTTTAATATACTACTTAAAATATTCAGTTTTGACCAAAAAGTTGTAAGACATGCAAAGAAACAGGGGCACCTGGCTGGCTCAGTCAGTTAAGTGTCTGCCTTCAGCTCAGGTCAGGATCCCAGGGTCGTGGGATCGAGCCCCAAGTCAGGCTCCCTGCGCCCCTCTCCCTGCTCGTGCTCTCTCTCTCTCAAATTAATAAAATCTTTAAACAAAAAGACTTGCAAAGAAACAAAAAATATGAACCATACTCATCAACTGAAACTGTATCTGAGTGTTCCCATATGTTTGCTTTAGCAAAGATTTCAAAGAAATTATTATAAATATATTCAGGGAACTAAAGAAACCATATATAAAGAATTAAACAAATTATGATGACAATAACTTACTCAATACAGAATTGCAATAAAGAGAAAGACTTTTCAAAAAAAGAATCATAGAAATTCTAGTATTTATAAGTAAAATAACTAAAAGGTTAATTTTAATAGTCAAGGTTCTACAGAGAAACAGAACCAGTAGATCATGCATATTATGAGATTTATTTCAAGGAAGTGTCTCATGCACTTCTGGGGAGCGGCCAGTCCAAAATGTCTAGGCAGGTTGGCAGGCTGCTAACTCTTGGGCAGAAGTTGTCATTGTAGTAACAATGTATTATTTCTTCTTCCTGAAGGAAACCTCAGTTTTGCTTTTAAGGTCTTTCAACTGATTGGGTGAGACATACCAAGAATATCGAGGACAATCTCCTTTATTTGAAAGTCAACTGATCATAGATGTGAACATCTACAAAACACCATCAAGTAACACTTAGATTAGCACTTGGTTGAATAACTGGGTACTGTAGCCTAGCTAAATTGACATTTAAAACTAACCATCACAGTTCACCCCTTGTCAATCTGGCACCTATATATATGTCCTTAAACCATATTTAATCTCCAAATAAACATATTAGCAAAGTGATACTTCTGTCTAACATTAATAACTAATCCATTTTTCCAGCTTCAAATACTGAATATCCATTTTTAAAATACATAGCAAAGTACATAAACACATTGTTTTAGGTGCTATGGGAGGAAGATACAAATTTACATGACATGAGTCCTGTTCTTAGGAACCAATATTACCCTAGAGGAGAGAAGACATATACAAATAACTATAATTTTTAAGGGAATTTTTTTTAATATGAAGTAACTTTTGAAAAGTGGTGTAGGGAAGTATAATGAGTTGTTAATGAGTGTTGAGAAAGACTTCTGTTGGTCTTCTAAAGCTTCCATAACAAAATATGGCAGACTGAGTGACTTAAAAAACAGAAATTGATTTTCTCACAGTCTGGAGGCTGGAAGTCCAAGATCAAGGTGCCAGCAGGATGTCTGGTGAGACCTCTCTTCCTGCTTGCAGATGGATTCCTCCTTGCTTTTTTTTTTCTTTTTTTGTCCCCACATGGCCTTTTCTCTGTGCATTAGCACTCTTGGTGTCTTTCTTGGTCTTTTGTGGGTGGGGCGAGGGGGGGTTTCAAATTCCTAATTCAATCTTTTTACAGTTATAATTCCACTCAGATTTTCTTGAGTTTCAATAGTTTCTGTTGTAGGAATTTGTTCACTTCCTTTAGATTATCTGATTTGTAGGCATACAGTTATTTATAATGTTCCTTTATAATCCTTTTTAAAATTACTATAGATAGTGATGTCCTCTTGTTCATTTCAGATTTTAGTTACTTGACTTTTCTATTTTCATCTTGGCCAGTCTAGCTAAAGATGTGTGAATTTTGTGGTTATTTTCAAAGAATCAATTTTTGGATTTGTTGCTTTTCTCTATTTTTCTATTCTCTATTTCATTAATATCTATGCTTATCTTTATTATTTCCTTCCTTCTATTTATTTTGTGTTTACTTTGTTTTTCCAGTTTTTTAAGAAAAGATTTTATTTATTTGAGAGAGAGAAATAGCAAGAGAGAGAGCATGAGCAGGGGGGAGAGGGAGAAGCAGGCTCCCTGCTCAGCAGGCAGCCCGATGTGGGGCTCAATCACAGGACCCTGAGATTATGACCTGAGCTGAAGGCAGATGCTTAACTGACTGAGCCACCCAGGTGCACCACTTTTTTTCAGTTTTTTAAAGATGGAAAGTTAGACTATCTTTTTTAATACAAGTCATCTTTTTTAATACAAGTATTTACATACAGCTGCATATTTCTCTTTAAGGAGTTCTTTAGGTGCATCCCCTAAGTTTTGATATTTTCTGTTTTCATTTTTATCTGTCTAAAAGTATTTTCTAATTTTCCTTGAGATTTCTTCTTTGAACCATTGATTATTTTAGAGTGTGTCACTTAATATCCAAATATAAATGAGTTTTCCAAATTTTCTTCTGTTTCTGATTCTGGTCTAACTCCATGTTTGCAGAACATATTTGGCATAATTTCAACACTTTTAAATCTGTTGAGACTTCTTTTTTATGCTTTAGCACATGGTTTACCTTGGAGAATTTTCCATGTGTATTTGAGAAAAATGTGTATTCACTATGGTTGTGCAGTGTCCATAGGTGTCTGTTAGGTCTAGCTGTTTTTTTTTTTTTTTTAAGATTTTATTTATTTATTTGACAGAAAGAGACACAGCGAGAGAGGGAACACAAGCAGGGGGAGTGGGAGAGGGAGAATCTGGCTTCCTGCAGAGCAGGGAGCCCGATGCGGGGCTCAATCCCAGGACCCTAGGACCATGACCTGAGCCGAAGGCAGACACTTAACCGACTGAGCCACCCAGGCGCCCCTAGGTCTAGCTATTTTATAGTATTTTCAAGCCTATTTTTTTGTTGACATTCTTCCTAGTTTTCCTAGATGACCATTATTGAAAGTGGAGTATTGAAGTCTCCAAGCAGTATTGTTGAATTCTCTATTTCTCCTTTCAATTCTGTCAGTTTTTTCTTCATGTATATTAGGGTTCTTGAGGCATTGACTCCTTGTGTGTATGTTTTTTTTTTTTAAGAGTTTATTTATTCATTTGAGAGAGAGAGAGATAGTGAGAGAGAGCACAAGCGGGGAGGAGAGGGAGAAGCAGGCTCCCCATGTGGGCCTCGATCCCAGGACCCTGACGTCATGACGGAGCCAATCCGAAGGCAGCCACTTAACCAACTGAGCCACCCAGGCACCCCTTCCTTGTGGTTTTCATAAACCTTTAGCTTTAAGAATGAAGCACTGACCTTTGTATCTCTAGCTGTAGGAGTGAAGCACTGACCTAGGCTAATGCATTGAGTACATCAATTACTTTCACTTTCTACACTGGTTGAATGGTTGAATATGTGAGCTGAGATGTGCCAGTCAGTGTCAGTTTGGGGACTTTTGGGGGGAAATTCTGAGATACTGAGGCTGGGA